TAACAAAGTTTTAAGTGGGTGGATGATCAGCACCTCTAGGTATAGTTTTCTTTAAAACCTTATTTTGTGAAAAAGAAAAGTAAAAGGTACTGTCCAGAGTCTGGAAATCATTATTTTTACATTCCTCTGTCTCATAAGAATATAACTGATGTAAATTTTTCAAATTTTTTTGGGTTGTTTTGACCACCTCACCTATCAACTCTCTTGTTTATCTTTAAATCCCCTACCTAGCTGAAAGTCAAATCCTAAGTTGACCCTATTATATCCTAAAATTCATCCAATGGAATACATATTTCAATTTAGGACCAATTAAGACTGGCAACCCTATTGGCTGAATTTTAGGGTTAAGACCGAAGGGCATAAACCAAGCATAATATGTTTATCGCCTCATTATTGTGTCTTCGAAAGCGAGAGACCCCCCCATGATCTCTCCAAGAAAAGGTCTGGAATGAACGGACTACGGATTTGCCAGAGTCCAAGGACCTCTGCAGCTAGCGAACTAGGTGCCGAAAGACTTAGAGCGAGTCGACAGTCTGAGATGACAGGATCTGTCGGAGGAAGGGTTCGAAATTGCAGCAAGAGGCGAGGAGAGAAAGAGAGAGAAAGAGAGAGAGAGAGAGAGAGAGAGAGAGAGAGAGAGAGAGAAAAGGAACATGAAGGTGCTGATGCCAGGGCTACGCTCGCCAGCGAGTGCAAAGTGCTAAGTTCCTCGTAGTCGCAAGGCAAGGGTGGAGCCCATTATTAATGCGGGCCTAGGTCACGGGCGGCGGAATGTCTCCTCGGCTGGTAGCCGCGGCTGGTTAGTTCGTAAGAAGGCCAGTGGCCGCGCTCTCGCGTTCACTATAAATAATCCGAGTGCGCGGGTATGTCCAAGTATAGCCTGTTGGGAGTGTGCCAGCCTCAGCGAGGAGGCCTCAGCTATTTTTGCGGGCTGTCGCTGCCACCAGCGCTATAACGCGCGACGGACACTCCGATCGCGACTGCCGATCCGGAGATGGTCCCGCGATCTCTCTCTCTCTCTCTCTCTCTCTCTCACCTGATAAATTATCTATACGAGCGAATGGGTCTCCTTTGATCTTTTCGTGTTCCTCTCCTTTATCTCCACCTTCTCTTCAAACCGATATCTGTCCCACGATCTTCTCTCTCTCTCTCTCTCTCTCTCTCTCTCTCTCGACTCGAGAGAGAGAGAGAGAGAGATCTTTCTCGTGTTGTGACCTTGAGTGGCTCCGCGTTGCCAGATCGATTATGTCAATGCCGAGCCCCCACAGATTACGCGATACAAGAGGGAAACAGGAGGAACCGGATGAGAAAAGCGGAGAGGATGGAGGAAGGGGAATTGCCAATTTTGGCAAGTTGGACTCACGTGCCGGTTTCACGGTCAGCCGAGAAACGAGGACTCCGAGGCTCGATTAATATGCGGATGACTCTTGCGTGGTTTTGCGCCTTACCGGATGCACACTGATACGCGGATATTTTTATACCGGCTCTTGAATTCATATTGAATTGCAATAAAGCGATAGACGATGTCGTAAAGTATAGACGATGCAGCAACGACATAACAACTCAATCTCTTGAATTAAAAAAATAACGTTTTGTTTTAACTTCTATCATATGTGAAAATGTCATTTAATCCACACGTGTGATTAGTTTTAAAGTAAACAATGTATATATTAACGTATACACTTAATAAAAAATTAACTAAATTGAGTCCTAAATAAGGTGAATTAAATAAACTAAACTTGAGTCCAGTTTAATAAATTTTCTTAAAGTAAACTGTTTAACTCCATTGTTTAGTTATAAATGAACAACATATTGCGTTGGTGCAGTTGTGACTATAGAAATGACTATACAAATAACTCAAATAATTTGACATTATAAAATATAAATCTAATTTAATAGAGCTCTCAATCATTATTAAACAATAATATTAAAACAAACCCGGGCAAATGAGAACTGTTACGAAACGTTAATGTATTTATTAATAATAAACAATAATTGATACAGTAATATATACAAACAAGAACGTGTAATAACTCTAATTTGCCCGGCTTTGTTTTAATATTATTTTTAACATTATGAATTTAGTAGAATACATTGATGAGAATATACATATATATTGATAATATAGCGCTGGAATTTGATAGTTGAAAACGTCCAAGTTGATTCAGAGATGCATCGTTGCGCTGCGAAAACCAGTTATCAATCGATACCAGCGTTTCATTCAAGGAAAAAAAGGAACGAAACTTGCACTTACGTACAGGAAGCTCAAGAACTCGAGTTCAATACTAAATGCATGGAAAGAATGATTTTGTTGAAGTATTAAAAAATTAAATATAAGATTTAAAAATAATTTCTTTGCATCATCATAATTATATATAGGATGTTTAAACACGATAATAATGCTGCAAAAAAACTTTCATAATCTAACAAATAATTTGGGCATCCTACATATAATTATTTGGATAAACCAACAAATTATTTTTAAAACTAAATTTTTAGATACTTCAGCAAAATTCATTTTTTCCGTCTATTTTTATATTATCATAATTATTAACATAATTACATTTAATATATTCAGAAAACATGATATCTAAAAAAATATCCTAAAAAGTTTTTATTCAAAATATATCAGTGTGACAATTTTAAAATATTTTATGTTTATCTTATGTCTTATTAAGCTCTAAAATAATTTCTAAGATTTTTGAAATTACTTTATATGTGTGTAATTTTGATCTTTGATATAGATTAGGTTATAATATAATTCTAAGAATATATACTTGTTTAAAATTTTTAATACAAGAATCGAAATTTAATAAAAATAATAAAATAAATTTTAAAAAATCGATGAGATTTTGGAAAAACATAATAAATAAGAAAATATGTATATATTGTGTGTGTGTGTATTGCACTATCTAAAATTCTAAGAATTTTGTTAAGAATTCCAAAGATCACAATTATGAAGAGCTTCTGGAATTTCAAAACTATCCAGAATTTAAAAACTATAAAAATCAATAATCTTATGGAATTTTTGCATGATTCTTATATAAATATACAGGATGTCTCACAACTACCTCTTAAGAATTTCCTCTTAAAAACATATTCTTGAGATAATTTGAGACGAAATTCTTGAGACGAAAATTCTAATAAGAAAATGTCGAGGTTATAATAATTTTTTGAATTATAAGCTAACTTTAAATGCTTCTAAGTAAAAAACTATTTTACTTTTAGAGCCTCTATTATTATTTCTAGATTCTTTTGAACATTCTAAGACAAAAATTCTAATTTCGAAAATATCGAGACTTTGATAGTTTTCGAATTATACACTATCTTTAATTATAATTCAATTATAATTCAAGAATATGTCCTTAAGAGAAAATTCGATAGTTATTAAGACACCCTGTATAATTATTAATATATTATTATACATAAATAATAAATAATAAAATAATATATATAAATAATATATTCTCGTTTATTATTAAAAGAAGCAATGACAAAATCCAAGCTCTTGATTTAACAAATATTTTGTTATTTTTAACTTTCATGTATATACAAGTTTAAATCAATCCATTTCTGTAGTTAAATTAAAACATCATTCACGTTAACATATGACTAATAAATAATAAATTTAATTTGAATCAAATTTTTTAAAATTAAATTGTTTAACTCCATTAGTTAAATTAATGACATACGTATATTGAGGAGTAATGGATCTATAGAAATGATTAGAGATAATCTAAATTATAATTTAACATTTTAATACTGTTTAAACGTTAAACATTCAATACTATTTCTGAAACGCATCTGTATTCGTGCAATACGACTATTACGACTCGTTATCACGTCACTTCAAATCTCCCGCTTTCGCTCAACGTATACTTGATATACTCCATTCGTCGTAACATTCTCCAGCGTCGCGTGCAATAGTGCAGTTGTCCAAGTGTCGCCAGTTGACGCACAGTTAAAAATCGCATCCGTCTCCGTAACTGCATCTAGAGAACAGAGACTGTAACCTCTTGTTTACATCCGTCTAAACGAGAATAAAAATCGTCACGTGTCCCGTTCGAGAATTCTGGAATCTGGACAAATTTTATCAGACGCAGGATCGGCCGTCGCGCAATCGCGTTGTCGGCATTATAGGGCGCTGCCGCTGGTGGGCTGGTCAGTGTCATCAGTGAGAATAGTGAGACGTTCGCGTCTGCGAATATTGTCAGATTTCGAAGTGTGATCCCGTGCACGTGAGGTTCGTGAGGCAGGTGAGGCTCCTGCGGAACGGTCTCTGAATTCCTGCATCCACACAACCGGTGGCGGCACGCGCGGTACGCCCATCCGCGGTGACACCGCGACGCGTCATCGAGTAAGTCCCGAAACGGGGGCCCCTCGGCCGGGTCGCTTCGGTCGAGATTGACATCACCGCCGTTGATTTTGGCACGCGACTTGTCAATGAAAATCGATCCCGAATTATCTGGGTCAGAGGGCATCAGCCGCGTCGGACGCTCGCTGAATTTAAACGTCGGGCACGTCGATGCGATCGGATCAGTCGATCGCGATCGAACGGCCGGTGCTTCTGCTCCGGCTGATAACGCCTCCGTGATAAGAGAAGTCGGTCGCGGCCGTGCCGACGACCCTCGCGGAGCGGGCGCGGCTCGTGTCGACGGCCTTTTGTGCCCTCGCCGACAACGCGCCCTTTGAATAATTGATTCCGGTCGACCGACGGGCGCCGTGATAATTAGCACGAGACGTCGATAACGGCCTTCCCTCTCTTTGCTCGCGTTGCCGAGATCGCTATCCACAGAAACGTTTTATTATCACGCGATTGTGTTGTTTTGACCATTTATCACTGAACTGTTCTTGCATGAGACTTGAGAGGGAGAAATTAGTTGAGATAATACTTAATTTCTGCGCGAATAGTACAGAAGTTTATCGGGAATAGGCTAGAACTTTGCAAAATGTCGAGGAGACACTCGGTTGTTGACCAGTCACCATGGGATGATTTACAGACTTCTTCGTCGACCAAGACAACCACCATGACGACAGCCGCCAAGCTGTACGGCAAGGATCTGAGCGAGTACGATGATATTGACGTGGATCAACTATTGGCAGAGCTTACGCCGGAGGAGCTTAATATATTGGCCAAGGAAGTGGATCCTGATGTAAGTTTGTTACTTAAAAAATTCTATTTTATTATTCCTGTGGGATACTGAATCTATGTTACATTTATACAGGACAGTTTTATGCCACCCTCGCAACGTTGCAGTTATGAATGCAATAAGAGTCCTACGGGGCCATTGAATCGCAAGAAGCTCATTGAGCATATCAATAAACAAGCTTTAGAGACACCTGATATTCCAGAACTGAAGCCATATGTACCTGGTGTAATTAGGGGCAAGAAAGTAAGTATTGTCTATAATGTTCCACAAATCGTTGCGTTGGCAGAAAAATGACACATCTTAAAATTAGGAACTTTTCAGTAGAGCCTTAAATTTTTGAAATTCTAAATGAAAACGTTTTAATTAGAATAATTAATATACAATTTCTATAATTTGATTTTCTTTCCATGTTATCTTTTTAATTAGATTGCATTCTTTGAAATTATATCGTGAGTTTTTCAAATTTGAACATTGCAATTTTAGTGTCATGTCAATTTCACTCTTTATTAGAGTTTTGTACTTTTTGACATAAATGAATATATTAATTTTTAGAGTTGATTTATTTTTATTATCTAAAAAATGCTAATTTTTTACTTATGTTATTTTTCTATCAACACAGCGAAATAGATAGATGATAAGTAATTCTAGTCTAGAAAGCCTAAATTTGAGGTTATAGTTGAAAAAGAAACATGAAAGAGCTAAAGTCAACATTTCCTGGTGGGAAAAAATTTATGGAAAGGTACAGAAAACAGACAAGATCTTAAAAATTCTTAACTTTTCGTAGATATTTGTAGTGGGACATAGAATGGTGTTATTTGAAGGCGGAGGATTTCTGGGTTTTTCATACAAACATCGCAGCTCCACGTCCCACTACGAATATCTACGATAAACTAATAATTTTTAAGATCTTGTTTCAATCTACACATATAAATTTTCGTAAAAATTTTTCCACCAGGGTCTAATTGAATAATAGTAGTAAAATAAATTTTGTATAATATATTGGTAATCGAATTATATATACATCATATTATATTATTTGTTTTAGTGGGTACCTCCACCACAAGACAACACGAAAGAAAAGGAAGCAGACGAGCAGATCGCGATAGATCTTGGTGAAGAGTATGAACAAGCGCTTTCGGCCGCCACCCAAGAAGAAATCATTGATCTTGCAGGTAAGAAGATTGATCTTTTCTGAAAGAGAGCTCTTTGTATCAGAATAGAAAGATAAATAATCGAGACTATCTTTTCCATTCAGCTATTCTTGGATTCCATTCTATGATGAATCAAGATCAGTATCACGCGTCTCTACTGAATTCTGGACAGCCAGTCGGACTTGGTTGGGACGGTGTGACGAAGGCTAGTCAGCCGAAAATTTATCCGATGGAACCGCCTAATGATACAGACGTTGACGCTACCATTAAACAAGTGCGAGACGATGATTCCTCTCTAACTGATTTAAATTGGAACAATATTAAAGTAAGTAGCGTCAATTATACCATTATAAGAAGAGAATTACGTTTTATGCTAAACTAATGCTGATCTTGTTACAGAATATTTCGGACGAAAAATTCATGCAGTTGTTCGAAGGTTTGGAAATGAACACACATCTTGAATCGCTAAGTTTAACCAACGTTGGACTTAATGACAAGACCGCGCAACGGCTAGCCGATGCCATAGAGAAAAATTCGACACTCAGAGTACTCAAGTATGCATAAAATTTATATGTTGATAATTTCTGATTGCTTTAATGTAAAAAAATATTTTTCTTCTTCAGCGTGGAGACAAATTTCATAAGCCCGCCTGTGATAGTAAGGCTGATCAGATCCCTTCTTAAAACAAAATCAATCGAAGAATTCCGATGTTCGAATCAGGTAGGTTGTCGTATAAACTTATGTGCACAAATATTTTCTGCAAGAATAGCGACAATAAGATCTAACGAGATATTCGCATCATTTTTCAGAGGTCACAAGTATTGGGTAACAAAATTGAGATGGAAATCACACAATTGGTAGAACAAAACCCGACGTTGTTGCGACTCGGGTTGCATCTGGAGTTCAATGATGCTAGACATCGCGTAGCTGCGCATCTGCAACGCAACATCGATAGGAGTAAGTATAAAAGGGTATCGCGATGTCGATATGATTAATAATATTTATTATAGCTCAAGTAGCCTATACAGAACAAAAAAAATGTATCACTTATAGGAATGAAAAAGTGTTTTAGAAGTAATTGGCATTGATCGAAGATAATTAGCATTAATTTATATACTTGCGTAGTCAATTACAAACGTAAACAATCGCTTCTAATTATATTTTTAGCGTGCATTATGATAGAAACATTTTGATAGGGATATCATTACAGAAGTAGCTATATGTGTATGTCTTAGAAGGTTGATATAATTGTTCTACACTTTTACGTCAAGTGCGACGCTCCATTCACGGGTCACCGCACAATAATCTGAACAGGTGTCACAAATTACGTTAGCAGCGCAATGAAGCGTTTCACGAACGTATTACGTAGATGCCATTGTTTCTATCACAATTATAATTGTACTATTAATTTTTCATTTAGATGGGAGCAATTGTATGGGGGACTATGGAGACCACGTGACGAAATGCTTCTAACCTTTCCGAATCTGCTTCGTAGTCTCAAATAGCGCTTTACTATAGTATATTGCATCATTCATTCATTCATCCCGCTATATTCATTTATTATTTTTCTAGTTAGTGACATATAGAGGTAATTATGAGATTCCCCAGCTTGTCCCTGTTCAAGTATGAAATTTTCTAATTTCCGACACAGTGTTTTTCAAATCCTTAATTTAAAATTATTTAAATATGTGAAAGATTTATGAAGCGATATACAAAATGTCTTAAAAATGTTCTTTTTTATTTGAAAAACGCTGTTTCTTTCCTCGAATAATATAGCTCTCACGTTATGTTTTGAATCCCTTTACTATCACTTTACTATCTGTTTTTTTTTATTACTCCTTATTTAATTTATATCTTGTCCTCCCGCGCTTTTATTAAAGATACACATAAAAAAAGGTGTATTAAGCGGTGCACCAGATGATGATCTGCTTGTTTTTCAATTTTCAGTGAAGCACAGAGAAGCGAAGATTAGGGTAGTTTAATTTGGTACGAATTTATATTGACCAATTTTCTTTGAGTCTTTAATCAAACTCGACTAACTATCGGACTTACGCTTAATCGACGTTAAATGGCACAGCCGTTTCATGCTCTTGATTATTTAACAAACGAAATATTTATGCTTTCGCAATTGATACACTTAAGTTGTGCTGATAATTTGCCACATTATCGCTTATTGTCAAATAGCATTGCTAAGCACATTAACAAATGGTGTCCGCATTATCTTATCGTATTAATGCTCGTTTCTATCAATATAGTTTAAACTTTAATCTCGGTTTAACTCTTCATACTTTTCTAATTCTTAGAACTAGAAAAAGATGAAAAGCTAATTGAGCCAAGTTTAAAATTAAACTATATTGGTAGAAACAGGAAATTAAATCAATTTAATTTCCAAACGAAATTGCAATCTAACTATCTAAATTATAATCAAAACCATATCCTCACTTTCTTTTCCTTTATAGCATGCATCATTACAAAAATTATTTCATTGAGAGAAAGTTTTTGGTTTGTTTGTAATTACTGCTCCATAATTGTAGTTACTTAATTACTACTCTCTATAAAATGTTAGTAATAATAACTGTATATATAGTTATATTAACAAATATATATATATATATATAATTAGTATCAAAAATAATTATAAATTATAATTATTATTACCATAAAATGGTTGCAATTACTATATTTTAGCTATAATTTATAGTCATGTTTTGAACCAACTATTTTTTCTCAGTGTTTGCAGAGACAGATGCATATACTCTCGCACATTTTTATCACAACTCCGAAATCCTTACAAAAATTATAAGAGTTATGAAATCCTTGTTTTATTCTGCATTGTCCTGTCGAGTCTCAAAAATTCAGTCCCGCAATTTGAGCAAACGATTTAGATTATCATTGATTTTAATGGATTCGTTTATCTGGCTAGTTTGTCGTGTGGAACCTATGGAACGAGCTAAGCTTGTAGCGATCGCTGGTGGTCCTGCAACTTTCACCGTTCTTCCCGCAGATGACTTAAAAAATAGAGCGTAGCGCTGTTGCAGCGCAGTGAGTAGCTTTCTTGTAAAAAATGAGCTCGTCTTTCCCCATAACTTGTGACAACTTATTTCTAATATTTCGATTGACCTTTTGCACTCTAAAGCTAACATTTTATTTGTCGTACGACACATAAATTTTTTTAAGTGTTAATTGGCTACAAAATGGAGAATTTTTGGAAATTCGAGAATAGAACTTCTCTATATAGTCAGTTAACATATTGAAAAATTCATCGTTTTAATATATTCTTAACGTTAAGAAATCTTGTGTGTGGAATATTAGCTCTTGAGAAATTTCGATTCTCCAATAGAGATATAAAGTATCATTTCATATATATATATTTTTTTTTTAATGTGAGTGCAAAGGAATGGATCAATTTAACAAATTCTTAGTTATCATGACAATCCTGAATCTTACCGATTCTTGTCACTTAAATGAATATTAGAAACAAGAATTGTTTGCAGTTTTGCGTTTTACATGCATTATGATCTAAAACTTTTGTGAAAAAACTATCACGCGTAACAATAATTACTTCCCAAGTCTAATCACTAAGCAACGATTTATTCTCTACATTCCCTGAAATAGGATCACGCGATTCAAAGACCGAATACATAACTAACATTGCATCCCTCTCGCAAATCCGACCCGCACGATTTCATTTTGCATTGTCGACATCATTTCCCTTTGCTCTCCTTTCCCGTTCTACTTTCTTTTTAAGTTCGACCTTTTTTTTTACTTTTAACACTTCAACATACTATCACAGTACATACGACACGTGGATGATCTAAGTTTCATTGTTCGAACCCAGCGCACCTTGACGAGATTGCATTTTGCATAGACAGAATCGATGGGCCGCCAGTTCCCCGTGTTCTATATGTCATATACGCCAGTCCCCTTTATTTATTTGATGCATATGTAGGTGTTCAGGCGTGTCACGACACATTTGCGTCCCTTTTATTGCAAACGGTGTCGATATCATGTTGCAGTGGTCTACTTGACTCGCAAGATTGAAATGAAAAGCTCATGTCGATTCTCGATATTTCAAACGATGTCATTGACGTGCATTTTTCATTTTTTTAGAAAGTTTCTACGGTTGAGTAGTACTTTTGAGTGTCGATGCCATTTAAAATTAATTATAGATAATTAATTATAGATGATGTTCTGTTTACCTGAACTTCTTGCACAATTCGTCTTTTTCCTTTTTTTCTCTTCAACACACAGAGGAAAGAAAGAGAGATGAACTGTGCAAGAAATTCAACTAAAAAGAACAGGCCTCATATCTTGCCGGTCGAGTGCTCCGAGATCTCTTTTATCGTAAACGTTTGCTATCCGCAGTCTATTGAAGTCTGATAATAGCTATCAATATTGAGTAAAATAATATTCGATTAATATAATCAAAAATGCTTTTATTGTCTTAAATATTTAATAGATATTATCAAATGGTTGATTATATTATTATGTTTGGTAATACTTACTAAATAATTAGGAAAGTAAAATTATTTTGGTTACATTAACCGAAGAATTTGATTGGCATTAATTCACTCAAGATTTGATGCTATTACCAAACTTTTTCTTTCAGTGCGTGACTGCGAATTCAAGCTGGCGATATATGTTTTTTAATACTCACGACACCTATTCTTTCC